GTAAAGAAGTGACGAGACGGAACGCTGAGGATGAACAAGCAGGTTTCAATTAAAGGAAACTACAGGTGGGGAGTTTAGGGTATATAGGGCTTCTATAAGGCTTCCATAAGGTATATAGACCTTCTAGAAGGCTCCTATAACGGTAACTACCCACCTGAAAATGATTTAAACCTACTACAATCCTCAACCCAAAGCCCAAAACCTCGAAGCTGAAACTCTCGAAGCTCTGCACAGAAGGTCCTACATGTGCTTCAAACTCTGATCCTTAACAAAAACCCGAAGTACTACGCCTTAAACCCAATACCTTGCGAAAACGAGTAGAGCCCTTTACACTCCTAAACCCTAAACCCTAAACCCTGAACCCTAAACCCTAAGCCCTAAACCCTGCACCCCAAACCCAAAAACCCTAAACCCTAAACCTCAGGCCATAAATCCGCAACCGACCTCCACGGGAGAGTTCGCTGTTTGAAGACTTCAAACGGCGCACCTTCTCTCCTGCAGTAGACCCCAGGGTTTAGGGTTTAGGGTTTAAACCCTGAACCCTAAAACCCTGCGTAAACCCTGAACCCGGTTTAGGTTTTTAGGGTTTAGGGTTTAGGGTTTAGGGTTTAGGGTTTAGGGTTTAACCATCGAAGTGTAGGACGTAGGGATGGACACCGGAAACTCCAGAACACCGCATTGTAAGGAATATAATATAGGGGCCTTAAGAATTAGAATAGGGTTTGGGGGATCTCATACTACAATTATATTAAGGAACTCCTAAAACCCTATTCTAATCATTAAGGCCCCTACATTACCTTTAAGCACAGTTTAGGGTTTAGGTTTAGGGTCTGAAATCGAACTGAGGATCTTGCTAAACTTAGGTAGAATTCAGGCGTTTGGGAGCCTCTCGGCCCTACTCCCCACACTGCTGTGAGAGCTTCAGCGAAAGAATCTGGGATTTAGGGTTTAGATTTAGGGTTTGGTTTAAACTGGCAGGGCAGAGGTGCTGAGATGCACAGCAAGGTAGTAACGGCCTGCCTTAGTAAGGCTCCTAAGAGAGTCTTGGGCTTTCTGGGGTAGGGTTTCGGCTTTGGGGGCTAGGGCTTGGGATCTCACTGCAAGGTTCCTGGAGCCTTGGGGTAATGACAACTTCAATTCTCCATCCTCCTGCACGAGCTTTTGCACGAACAGCAGGCGCTTTGGAACCCGGAGCATACCCTAAACCCTCAACATGAAAACCCCGAACCCTATAAACCCTAAACCCTGAACCCTACAGGCCCAGTGCTGCTGGTGGCGGCAGGTCCAGGGTGGTGCCAGGGAAGCCAAGAAATTGGGTTTAGGGGTCTAGGGTTGAGGGTTGAGGGTTTAGAGGTTTAGGATTTAGGATTGAGGGATGAGGGTTTGGGGTTTAGGGGTCTGGGATTTAGGATTGAGGGATGAGGGTTGAGGGTTTAGGGGTCCAGGGTT